CTCCCAGCTGTCCTGCCTGCCCACTGCCCCCCTGTGGCGGGTCCAGTAAATGCAACTGCTCCCTCTGCTCGGCGAATTCTTTCCCCACCTTCGACGCCAGTCTCAATCCGAGGCTTCTCGTCACGGATGAAAAGCTGACTGGGGGCTGGCGCTGTGGCGCAGCGGGTAAAGCCCCCGCCTCATGGCTGCTCCACTTCCAATCCAGCTCTCTGCTGTGGCCTGGGAAAGTAGTAGAAGACGGCTCAATTCCTTGGGTCCCTGCACCTGTGTGCAGAAGAAGCTCCTGGCTCCTGGCTCCAGAGTGGCGCAACTCTGGCCATTGTGGCCATCTGGGGAGTAAACCAGCGGATGGAAGACCTCTCTCTCTCTCCCTGCCTCTGCCTCTCTGTCACTCTTTCAAGTAAACAAAATCTTTAAAAAAAGAAAGAAATGCTGACACAATTAGCAATGTATATTTGATTAAAGTAACCTCAGTAAGTGACAAATCTTGCTCATTGTTAGACATAAAGAGTAGATTTGCTTTGGAAATGCATCTTAGTGAAGTGATTTATTTCTTTCCTTATTGGTTTCTGTATGCAAGAGTTAGGTTAAGACACATCACTAACGTCAATTCTATTTTTTGCTGTTGTTACTTTTAGAGGCTACTGGCTGTGAGAAGCACTTTTTTCACATAAATAAGTAGAAAGGAACAGAACAACTGTTTTACAGAAATGCCAGTGTTCTGAGCCCGCGTTGTCTGTCAAAAGCCACATTGTGATCTATCATTAGATTTTTTTCAATGATCTATCAACTGACAACTTGATTCAGTTCTTTTTAAAGAAATTTATTGGGGGCCAGTGCCGCGGCTCAACAGGCTAATCCTCTGCCTTGCGCCGCCGGCACACCGGGTTCTAGTCCTGGTCTGGGCGCCGGATTCTGTCCCGGGTGCCCCTCTTCCAGGCCAGCTCTCTGCTGTGGCCAGGGAGTGCAGTGGAGGATGGCCCAAGTGCTTGGGCCCTGCACCCACATGGGAGACCAGGAGAAGTACCTGGCTCCTGGCTTCAGCCTAGCCCAGCTCTGTCCATTGTGGCCATTTCTGGGAGTGAACTAGCAGATGGAAAATCTCTCTTTCTTCGTCTCTCCCCTCTCCTCTTCTGTAACTCTGCCTTTCAAAGAAATAAATACAGCTTTTTAAAAATTATTTATTTCTTTGAAAGATGGAGTTAGAGAGGAAGAGGGAGAGAGAGAGAGAGAATGAGAGAATGAGAGATCTTCCATTTGCTGGTTCACTGCCCAAATGGCCACAATGGCCACAATGGCCAGGCTGGGCCAGGCTGGGCCAGGCTGAAGCCAGAAGATTGGAACTCTGTCTCATCTCTCATGTGGGTGCAGGGGCCCAAGCACTTGAACCATCTTCTACTGCTTTCCCAGGTGCATTAGCAGGGAGCTGGATCGAAAGCGGAGCAGCCAAAACTTGAACGGAGGTGGGGTGGGGGGTAGGAGGGTGGAGAGGTTGAGGGGTGGGGGGTTGGGGGGTAGGGGGTGGAGAGGTTGGGGGGGTCCCAGCATTGCAAAGAGCAGGCTATCCTGCTTCATCAGTCCCAGGGGAAAAAAAGTGTGTTCCCAGTGCTCCCCAGCCAATCAGCGCATTTGCTCTTAGCCCAGCAGGCGTCCGTCAGCAGAGTGGGAGGGAAAGGGAAGATGGTGTTCTCTCCCCGTTCCCACGGGAGCTCCCTTACGCGATCATGATGGCCGTTCTGCTGCTGGATGGCTGTTCTGCTGCTGGCACGCATGCCTTTGCGCACCTCCTTTTTTTTTTTTGCCAGGCAGTTAGACAGTGAGAGAGAGACAGAGAGAGAGAGACAGAGAGAAAGGTCTTCCTTCCATTGGTTCACCCCCAAAATGGCCGCTACGGCCAGCACCGCGCACCAATCTGAAGCCAGGAGCCAGGTGCTTCTCCTGGTCTCCCATGTGGGTGCAGGGCCCAAGCACTTGGGTCATCCTCCACTGTACTCCCAGGCCACAGCAGAGAGCTGGACTGAAAGAGGAGCAGCCGGGACAGAATCTGGTGCCCTGACCAGGACTAGAACCCGGTGTGCTGGCGCCGCAGGCAGAGGATTAGCCAAGTGAGCAGCGGCGCTGGCTGCGCACCTCCTTTGAGGGCAGCACCCTGAGCACCTGCTCAGCAGGCTGGCGGGGGAACCAGGGCCTGCAGCACGAGTGTAGGACATCGGGTTGGACTTCCCCTCTCGGGTGTCCCCCGATGTCCAAGCTCCAAGACCTCCCGCTCAATTCCCTCCTTTCTCTCCTGGAAGTTCCCCATCCTTCACTCTAACAGTGGGTCCTGCCATGTTTTTCTAAGTACCTGCTCTCTTGGAAGAGCTGCAGAGGCCTGACTCCAAGCCTCTCCGATGGGAACTCGTCCTGCCAGCGTCTCCAAGCCCCAGGCCCCTCCTACCCCAACCCCCAGAACGTTCCCCAGACCCCTCCTCCAACCAGAGAGGCTGATCTGGGTCATGCTCTCCTGCCGCCCAGGAATAAAGCCTTTCTCTTCTCAGAAGACGGTTGTTGGGGCTGGTGCTGTGGAGTAGTGGGTAAAGCCACCGCCTGCAGTGCTGGCATCCCATATGGGCACCAGTTCGGATCCCGGCTGCTCCACTTCTGATCCAGCTCTCTGCTATGGCCTGGGAAAGCAGTAGAAGAAGGCCCAAGTCCTTGGGCCCCTGCACCCGCGTGGGAGACCTGGAGGAGGCTCCTGTCTTCGGATCCGCACAGCTGCTGCCGTTGCGGCCAGTTGGGGAGTGAACCAGCGGATGCAAGAAATCTTTCTGCCTCTCCGTCTCTCTCTCTGTGTATCTGTGTACCTCTGACTTCCAAATAAGTAAATAGAGTTCTTCAGAAAAGAGGAAGGAGGAGGAGGAGGAGGAGGAGGAAGAGGAGGAGGAGGAGGTTGTCACAGGTTGCAGATGACCAAGTGGGCATGGTGGGGGAGGGGCGGTGGGGGAGGGAGCGGAAGTGGGTGCAGCAGGGGGATCCTCGGCTTTGAGCACAGCCTGGAATGGGTCCTTGTTGACCCAGATGACGCCGGTGGTCCTCAACCCCCATTCTCTTTTCTTACAGATTAACAGTTTTGGTGCCCCCCCCCCCCCACCAACAGAGGGTGAGCAGTGATTCCCTGAGAAGGCTTGCAGCTGGGAGTGGCTGGAGGGCGCTTTCCTAGGCTTTCAGGTGTGGGAGGGGGTTGGTTGGTTGGTTTTTTAAAGATTTATTTATTTATTCGAAAGTCAGAGTTACACAGAGAGAAGGAGAGGCAGAGAGAGAGAGAGAGAGAGAGAGAGGTCTTCCATTCGCTGTTTCACTCCCAAATTGGCCACAATGGTCAGAGCTGTGCTGATTAGGAGCCAGGAGCTTCTTCCAGGTCTCCCACATGGGTGCAGGGGCCCAAGCACTTGGACCATCTTCTACTGCTTTCCCAGGTGCATTAGCAGGGAGCTGGATCGGAAGTGGAGCAGCCGGGACTGGAACCAGCGCCCATGTGGGATGCCGGCACTGCAGACAGTGGCTTTACCTGCTACTCCACAGTGCCCGCCACAGTGGACTTCTTTTAAAGGAGAAAAATAAACCTCTGTTCTCTGAAATGATAGTTGTTGGCATGTGCTGGTCACACGAGGCCACCGTCCTACTTGATTGAGTAATTTGACACAGTTGTGAAAGGTCAGGGGTGACTGCCTTCAGCACTGCAGGGGTTTGGAGAGCCGGTGGTTTAGACGGAGCTCCCGCACCAGGCCCAACAGCTCAAACCAAAATGGAGTCACTCACGCTAGAGTTCCACATGAGCACGTGGAGGCCACAGTGTCCAAATGGCCTTCTGGGAAATCAGGAGACAGAAAGACAATAGGCAGCTCCCCTGCAGGCCAGCTTCAGTGGTGGGATAAGGCAGTCCCTCCAGGTTAACCCGGTAAGGAGAGTGACTTTGAAAGGTCTACCGGTTCCTTCCTGCTTCTGCCTCCCGCAGGCCTCTCCAGCCGGTAAGGCCGACTCCTCTCCCTAGCTCCTCAGAGCAACTGAACCAAACCTTCACAGGAGATGCGCCCTGTGTGTGAATCACCAGTAAAAGCCAATTAGGTTTCTTTTTTTTTTTTTTTTTAAGATTTATTTTATTTGAAAGGCAGAGTTAGAGAGAGAGAGAGAGAGAGAAAGAGATCTTCCATCCACTGGTTCACTCCCCAGATGGCCACAATGGTCATGGACTGAGCCAGACCAAAGCCAAGTGCCTGAAACTCCATCTGGGTCTCCCCCGTGGTGGCAGGGACCCAAGCACTTGGGCCCTCTTCCGCTGCTTTCCCACACGCATTAGCAGGGTGCTGGATCAGAAGTGGTGCAGGGCCGGCACTGTGGCGTAGAAGGTTAAGCCTCCACCAGCAAGAGTCCCGGCTGCTCCGCTTCCAATACAGCTCCCTGCTAATGCACCTGGGAAAGCAGAGGAAGATGGCCCAAGTGCTGGGGCCTCTGCCGCCCCGTGGGAGACCCAGAAGAAGCTCCGGGCTCCTGGTTTCAGCCTGGCACAGCCTCAGCCATCTTGGGAGTAAACCAGCAGAAGGAAGAGATCTCTCTCTCGGTCTCTCTCCCCTTCTCTCTCTGTGTCTCTGCCTTTCAAATAAATAAATAAATTGGCCGGCACCGCGGCTCACTAGGCTAATCCTCCGCCTGTGGCACCGGCACCCTGGGGTTCTAGTCCTGGTTGGGGCGCTGATTCTGTCCTGGTTGCTCCTCTTCCAGTTCAGCTCTCTGCTGTGGCCCGGGAGGGCAGTGGAGGATGGCCCAGGTCCTTGGGCCCTGCACCCCATGGGAAACCAGGAGAAGCACCTGGCTCCTGCCTTTGGATCAGCGTGGTGAGCCGGGTGCAGCGCACCAGCCACGGCGACCATTGGAGGGTGAACCAACGGCAAAGGAAGACCTTTCTCTCTGTCTCTCTCTCTCTCTCACTGTCCACTCTGCCTGTCCAAAAAAAAAAAAAAAAATATTCTGCTGAGGTCTGTATTGGGCATCTTGTGCATGGGAAGGTTGTAGTCGCTCTTGAGGGACGCGGCTTTACGCCAAGTGCCGTGCAAGTCGTCCAGCTTCCGGAAGGCACTCTCCGTCCAGATGCAGAAGCGCCCCACGTGCCCACCGGGCGCGAGCTTCAGGATGTTCAGCTTGGTCACGTTGAGCAGAGTGATCCCAGGGATGTTCCGGAAGGCCTTGACGATGCCGTTGTCCTCATTGTAGATGACGCAGGGCCCCCTGCGCTGGGTCCTCCGGCGGTTTCTCATTTTGCCCTTGCCAGCCCTCATCCGCTGAGAGGCGTACACCTTCTTGATGTCATTCCAGGCCTTGAGTTTCTTAAGCAGCAGAACTGCCTCCTTGGTCTTCTTGTAGCCTTCAACCTTATCTTCGACCACCAGAGGAAGTTCCGGCACTTCCTCAATACCATGACCTTTAGACATGACCAGTGCTGGCAAGGCCAACGCAGCTAGGGCAGAGCAGATGGCGTACCACTTCTGGGTCGTGTTCACTCGCCGGTGCCAATGGCACCAGGTTTTGGTTGGTGCGAACATGCGGCCTCCTCGGCACATATTCCTAAAGGCACCCTGGCCGGATCGGTGCGTCCCACCACCTCGCACTCTGGGAATTCCCGCCACAGCTCTGCCAGTACCCCACGACTCAGCGCTGGTCTGGTGACCTGCCAGCTCACTGACGGCATAGGGCTGCCTATTGTTCTTGCGCACGTTGGTGTGCACGAAGTTCACGATGTCTGGCTGGATGGGAGCCTTGAACATGGCGGGCAAAGTCACATTTTTGCCGGACGACTCCCCCTTCTCGGAGTACACTGATAGGAGAGGACGAGCACACGCCATGGCGGGGAGGGGTGAGAGCCACGCTCCTCTCCTCCCAGCGGCTCCCACAGGAAAAGCAGATGAGAGATTTTCTCTCTCTCTCTCTCTCTCTCTCTCTCTCTCTCTCTCTCCCCCTTACAAATAAACAAAAATTAATGTGGAGGGTCACCCCAGAACACTGGGGAAAGTCCCAAAGCTAAGGGCAGGGCAGGCTCCCCAGCTTTGCCCAGAAATGCAAATAAGCTACCTGGGAAAACCTGTTGGATGATGGGAGAAAAACACACCCTAACTGGGAAGATAGTGCAATTCTAAGTGTGCCTCTCAGATTGCAGTAGTGGTCGGCTCCTGGCTATCCTGGCTGCCCACTGCTCCCTTGCAGCTTGTTCAATCACCCCACCTCTGCTCACTCTAACCCAACTAGGGCTCTGGTGACTTCTTCACTACGGGTGATGCCAATCTCTATCAGTCACTTCTTCTGCCAGTGAATACGTGAAGATCAGAAAGTAGTAAATTGGATGCCTGCTCTGGGTGTGATGGAGCAGATTGTTGCAGGCCAAAGTCCTCATTAGAAAGGTTTGGCGAGCTGAGAAGCCAAACACAGAGCCCCACAGAGGCCTGCTGGGCATAGAAACTCAGCAGAGACGAGGGGGGTCACCAGAACCACAACCCAGCCTTGACCTTGGGCAGTCCCTGACCGGGTCCAGGGGATTCCCCCCACCCTGCCTGTTTGGCTCAGAGGAGGAAAGGACGAGGTTCTGGGTTCTGGGGACGATAACACTTGAAGCCTCCACAACTTTTCGGAGGCTGAGTTTGGCATCTCATGAACAATTACTGGGGCGGCATGCGTCTGGTGCAGTGGGTAACACCCTGCTTAGACTGCCCGCATTTATGGGAGCACCTGCGGTGGAGTCTTGGCTCTGCTCCAGACTCCAGCTTCCAGCTCATGTGCACCGTGGTTCAAGTACCCTGGTTCCCTGCCACCCACGTGGGGGACCTGGACTGAGTTCCAGGTCGTGGTTTCAGCCTGGCTCAGCTCTGCCTGTGATGGGTATTTGGGGAATGAACCAGAAGATTCTGGAAATCTGTGTGGCTCTCTCTGTCTGTCTGGGTCTCTCTCTGCCTTTCAAATAAATAATAAATGGACGAATAGATTAAAAGCAAACAGAAATGATAAATAGACATTAAAAACAAACAAAAAGGAAACTTGAAACAGAGCCACCCATGAGACAGATTTGGAGATGTCAACATTAAAGGTAACTATGATTAACATAGTCAAGAAAACAGAAGGAAAGATGGAGAATTGACCCAAGGATTAAAATCCATAAAGATAAATCCAATGCAAGCCTTGGAGCTGAAGAGGAAGGATAAAAGAAGTTAGGAACTCTGCCAGGACAAATGCTACGAAAATGTCTGCTCCGGGCAGAATTAGCTTCCTGGAAAAGACGACAGAGTGGGCCAGAAGCAGTATCTGAGGAAGGCCAAGTCCAGGTCCCCAAAACGGAGGAAAAGCATCAGACCCAGGCCCAGTAAGATCTGTGACTCTGCAGCGGATACATGCAAAGTCACTCACTCCCAGCCTGTGGTAGCAGGAAGCTGCACACTAAGAAAAAAGATAAAATCTTTTTTTAAAGATTTATTTATTTGAAAGGCAGAGTTACAGAGACAGAAGGAGAGACCAAGGAAGAGAGGGGTTTTCTACCTGCTGGTTCACTCTCCAAATGGCTGCAACAGCCAGGGCTGGCCCAGGATGAAGCCAGGGGTCAGGAGCTCCCTTTGGATCTCCCACATGGGTGCGGGGGTCCAGGCACTTGGGCCATCTTCTGCTGCTTTCCCAGGCCCATTAGCAGGCAGTCATATTAGAAGTGGAGCAGCCAGGAATCAAACCGGCGCCCATATGGGATGGCAGCACTGCAGGCTGTGGGTGACATCTTTCAAGCGCTGAAAGAAAATCCACACTTGTATCCGGCGCCGTGGCTCACTAGGCTAATCCTCCGCCTTGCGCCGCCGGCACACCGGGTTCTAGTCCTGGTCTGGGCGCCGGATTCTGTCCCGGTTGCCCCTCTTCCAGGCCAGCTCTCTGCTGTGGCCAGGGAGTGCAGTGGAGGATGGACCAAGTGCTTGGGCCCTGCACCCCATGGGAGACCAGGAGAAGCACCTGGCTCCTGCCATCGGATCAGCGTGGTGCGCCGGCTGCAGTGCGCTGGCCGTGGCGGCCATTGGAGGGTGAACCAACAGCAAAGGAAGACCTTTTTCTCTGTCTCTCTCTCTCACTGTCCACTCTGCCTGTCAAAAAAAAAAAAAAAAAAAAAAAAAGAAAGAAAATCCACACTTGTAATCAAGCATCTCCCAGAGTTTTAGGCAACCAGTTTCACTTAGAGATCAGGAATGGGCGTGGCCACTGGGGGGTGGAGAAGACACCACGTGGGCGCCTGCACCCCACATCAGAACACCCGGGTTCAATTTCCAGTCATTGTAGCTTCCTGCTAATGCACACCCTGGGAGGCAGCCAATGACGGCTCAGGTAGTTGAGTGGGTCTCTGCCTGGATTGAGTTCCTGACTCTGAGACATTTGGGAGAATGAACCAGGGAATGGGAAATCTCTCTGTCTCTTCCCCTCTCTACCTTTCAAATACATACAAAATTTTTGAAAAAAAAAAATAGAAATGTGGGGGCCGGTACTGTGGCGCATGTGCCTGTGGTGCTGGCATCCCATATGGACGCCGGTTCTAGTCCCGGCTGCTCCTCTTCTGATCTTGCTCTCTGCTGTGGCCTGGGAAAGCAGTGGGAGACCAGAGGAGGCTTCTGGCTCCTGGCTTCCGATCTGTCCAGCTCTGGCTGTTGGGGCCAGTTGAGGAGTGAATCAGCAACTCTCTGTTTCTTTCTGTCTCTCTGCCTTTCAAGCAAATTAAAACAAAACAAAACAAAAAGACAAGAATTCAGGAGGCTGTGGAAAGTTTTGGTCAAGGAGAATGTCTTCATCAGTTGCTTTAGCAAAATCAAAAAGCTCCAGACTGAAAACCTAAAACATAATTCAAATGCCCCCAATTCCAGTTTCTACCCACTCCTTCGAAATTCCCATTTATAAGTAGGGAAGTCAAAAATGAACTTGTTTTCATTTTCAGTTCACTTCCCTGGCTATAATGAATGAGATATCACACGATTTCACTCCACGCAGGTGTGCGGTTCTGATCAGGGCAACCATAAATAAGCAGGCCGGCACTGCTCACTTTCCTAGCAGGAGTGTGCAGCATCCCCATTAAAGTTCATTGTCATGCAGAAGGTGTTTAAGGCTTCTCTGATTTTATTCCAACAGAAGTAAAATCAGATGGAAGTTCATTGATTCTTTATAGCCACCAAACCCCTAGCAACAAAAACAAAAATGAGGAAGAATTTTTGACCTCAAAAACCTACAGTTGGAGTCACTAAATGTCAGTATAAGGAATAACAGAAAGGAGACAGGTTGATTAAAAACAATTTTAAAAAATTATAGCTGGGGGCCAGCACTGTGGCGTAGAAGGTTAAGCCTCCACCTGCGGTGCTGGCAAGCTATAGGGGCACTGGTTTGAGTCCCGGCTGCTCCACTTCCAATCAAGCTCCCTGCTAATGTGCCTGGGATGGCAGTGGATGATGGTGCAGGTGCTTGGGCCCCTGCACCCATGTGGGAGACATGGAGGAAGCTCCTGGCCAAACTCCAGCCCTTGTGGCCATTTGGGGAGTGAGTCAGTGGATGGGAGACCTCTCTCTCTCTCTCCCTGTCTCTCCCTCTCCCTCTCTGTAATTCTGCCTTTAAAATTAATAAAATAAATATGTTTTAAAAATTAAAGCTGGATTATTGGGTCAGAGAGAATATACATGGGAATTTTGGTGGATTCTGCCATATTGCCCTTTGAGGAGCTGTACCAATGTAGCTTTTCTATTTATTTGAAAGTTAGAGTTACACAGAGAGAGAAGGAGAGGCAGAGAGACAGGGAGAGAGAGAGAGAGAGAGAGAAAGTCTTCCATCTGCTGGTTCACTCCCTAATTGGCTGCAACGGCCAGAGCTGTGCCAATCTGAAGCCAGGAGCTACGCGCTTCCTCCGGGTCTCCCACATGAGTGTAGGGGCTCAAGGACTTGGGCCATCTTCTGCTGCTTTCCCAGGCCATAGCAGAGAGCCGGAGAGGAAGTGGAGCAGCCAGGACTCGAATCGGCACCCATATGGGATGCCGGAGCTTCAGGCCAGGGCTTTCCCTGCTACGCCACAGCGCCAGCCCCCAGTGTAGCTTTTCACAAGTAATTTATGAGGCATGAAGTCTTACCATCATGGTGTTATTCAACTGCTCCCAGTTTGACAGGTGGAATGAGATATCTTGGTATAGTTTTAGGTTATCTTTATCTTCTTGTGAGTGAGGAGATAAATACAATCATGTAGAATCATCATGTTTATAAACTATTTACATAGTGTGTGTGTATATATATATAGAGAGAGAGAGAGAGTAATCATATTTTTATAGCCTGTGCTCAGTTTTCTATTTTGGTCTTACTGCATTTTAAGAGCTGTTTAAAGAGTTTCCTCTGTAAGATGTCGTTGTCAATGTTGGCCCATTTTACCATTTGTCTTTTGCCTTTGCTTTATGATTTGTAAGTGCAAAATTTTAAACAGGTGGTAGGGCCTGGTGCTGTGGTATAGTCCGTAAAGCCACTGCCTGCAGTGCTGGCATCCCAAATGGGCGCCAGTTCAAGTCCCGGCTGCTCCACTTCCGATCCAACTCTCTGCTGTGGCCTGGGAAAGCAGTAGAAGATGTCCCAAGTCCTTGGGTCCCTGCACTCTTGTGGGAGACCTGAAAGAAGCTCCTGGCTCCTGGCTTCGGATCGGCAGAGCTGCGGCTGTTGCGGCCATCTGGGGAGTGAACCAGGGGATGGAAGACCTCTCTCCCTCTCTCTCTCTCTCCCTCCCTTCCTCCCTCCCTCCCTCCCTCTCCTTTTCTCTCTGTGTAACTCTGACTTTCAAATAAATAAATAAATCTTTAAAAAAAAAAAGCAGGTGGTAACTTTTTATTTTGTATCTCTAGATATTGTGTTTTGGT